TGGAGATATAACTAAGGCATGACTGTAAATTAATAGATAAATCAATTAATGCAGATTAAATGATTAAATAAAAAAAATACAATAACAAAACTTAATTGTATTGTTAGCTTCTTACTAAATTATTATTAGAAAAAATTAAAGCATCACAACCAACACATATAGTAGATGTTAGCAGTAGTGCACATGAATTTGCTCCTGAAGGTGGAATTTATTCGATAAATTAAATGATCCAAATGCATTGGAGAAAATGTCACATTATGCGCAATCAAAACTTGCAAATATTTTATTTACTAGCGAATTAAATAAATGATGCCTTAAAGGAGTGCAAGTATATGCAAACTCTCTTCATCCAGGTCTATTAAAATAATTTTCAAAATTAACTAAAACAACTATATTAATTAATCAATTAATATTATTTCTTATTGATATTTATTTAGGAACTGTTGCTACCGACATGTTAAAAAAAAATTATCTGTGCCAGATAGTGTCGCTAAGGCTTCAATCTCACCTGAGGATTGAGCTATTACTACCTTATATTGTGCTACAAGTCCAGAAATCGAAGAGAAAAATTATCGTGAAAAGTATTTTGAATTATTTGGTAGAGAAGTTGAGCCGACTTCAGATGCTCAAGATGAAGATTTAGCTAAAAGACTTTGGGAATATACGGAGAATCTGATAAATGAAAAATTACCACAAAAATGATTTATTTATTTATTTAATTTATTGTCACTGATTAAAATGAAATTAGATTAAATGAAATTCGAGGTTTCTATTTAATTTTCTAAAATCCACTTATTCTTGTTTATTATAAATTCTACCCTGAACTTGATCCCTAGCTCTAATAAAATGCATCCCAAAAATTTGTATGTTTGTGACTTGTCTATTTTGGTCTATATACATAAAATGCCATGTAATCTGATTTTATTTTAATCTGTCACATTTACAATATTATGAGTATTATGTATTTTGATATCCAATAAATTTAAGTATAAATTTGCATAAAAAAACAAATGCTTTTTAATTCATGCTACTTGATTTGCACAAATTTATGTTCATGAAAATTGTTGCATATATATTTAGTCGGCAAGTGTCATTTTTTAATTTCATCGATTATAGAATAATAACTTGGTCAATTTTAATATGATTAAAAATAAAAAAAAACTTATTATAGTTCAAGCTCGTTAAAAAAAGTTTAATATTTTATATTTATAAAAAATAAAATTCGCTAAAATTTTTCATGTCTTCCTTATATTCACAAAATAAAAAAAAATCAAGCTAATTAAAAATTAGAGTTTTCAGAATTAATGACTGGGCTTTGACTTTGAATAAAATA